AGAAAATATACCTGTCTTATTGTGTAAATTGGAACAAATATTCCCACCAAGCTTCTTTGATTCAATGGAACATCTTCCAATTCATCTACCTTATGAGGCAAAGGTTGGTGGTCCAGTTCAATATCGTTGGATGTATCCTTTTGAGAGGTATCTTTACACTAACTACTCACCCTCCATTTCTAAAGTATTTTATATGTTCTTTAAAGACTCCATTTTTGTATTCTTTTTTAGATTCTTACACTCCTTAAAAAGGAAAGTGAAGAATAAAGCTAGGGTGGAGGGCTCTATTTGTGAAGCTTACTTGGTGGAAGAAACATCTACATTTGCCTCATTTTATTATCCCGATCATGTTGAAACAAGAAGGACTAGGATTCCTAGAAATGTTCATGTAGGTGAAGGTTCTTCATCCCCTCCTCCTATTTCAATTTTCAACTACCCAGGAAGACCAATAGGAAAATCTCAAACATATTTTCCGGACCAAAGAGACTATGATGTCGCCGAATTATATGTTCTTCAAAATTGTGAAGAGGTTCAACCATATTTTGAGTAAGATGTTTTCACTCCTCTCACATCAAATTTACTCATGTTACTTTGTGTGGTTTGAGTAATTTGTTACGTGTTTGCAGTATTTATATTGAATATTTAAGACAGCTAAATCCTAGTATTTCGGTGCCCAAATTGACCAAGACATTTCATCCCATTTTCCTAAATGGTTTAAAAAATATGTAAGTTTTTGACTTATATGTCTTACAAATATTTATTCTGACTTACATAGTCTAATGTGTAAAGGACTTTGCTTGTCTTTAGGTTCTAAATCCGAGAAAATAATATTGAAGATCCATTATTGGTTAATTTGGCATGGGGTCCCAAGAGAAAAGTTGAATCATGACCTATGTATGTTATCAATGGATACAAATTCCACACTATTGTTTGGAGTGAAGGCATGAATTCGTGTAACTATGGTGTTTATGTACGAGGAACCAATGGTCAATTAGAGTCAGATTTTTATGGATTATTGTCTAATATTATTCAATTAGAGTATACTGGTTTGCCATTGATGAATTTAGTTCTCTTTCAGTGTGAATGGTTTGACAATACTCTTAATATAGGAACCAAAGTAGATAATAAGTATGGAATCGTGGAAGTAAAGCAATCACGAAGATATAATAAAACATATGATCCTTTCATATTTGCACAACAAGCAGAACACGTTTATTACACAAGTTATCCAGAGGGACACCGAGGTTGGTTGTGTGTAATAAAGACAAAATCTCGTAGTAGAATCATTGATAATATAGTCAGTCAAGTTGAGCATGAGACTCCATACCAAGATGATGAGCTTGTAGGACTTGAAGTAGTGCTTCGTATTGATCTTAACTTCATTGATGATTCCCTTGCTGATGTTAATGGTGGGGGAGAAGAAATAGATATACAATTACTAAATGAAAGAAATATAGATGAAGATGAGGATGAATATATTTCAAGTGAGGATGAGACTGAGAGTGATTTTGGTGATACGAATACTTCGGTAATTCATGCATTAAAATTATTTTTACAATTGTTAAATTTGATTGTACACCTTTATTTAATATTGCATATATATACATATATATATTGATATGATTATGATTTAATTATTTGCAAAGTGAATGAGTGGTAAGCTAACCGACACGTTTGGGTGTAGAAAACACAATCGGGTAATTCATTGTTTCAATTGTTTAATTTTATGCATGTTACATATGTAATAAGATCCGCTTGTAGATGCCACAAAGGGGTAGAAGTGGTGGTCGTAGACCACCTCATCGTGGTGGTCGAGGTGTACTTGGTTGATGATAGAGGTTCACCCAACCCTAACTCTCCTAGTTCTGTTCGACCAAGATCCATGGAGTCTACTAATCCTATGTTTGTAGAACGCACACCTCCCTCAACTCAGCAGGAATCTCCTGTAGCTATAGTAGGAGAAACAATTCCTACTACCTTCTCTACTAAGGCGACATTTGGTCAACCTACACAGTACTCGGGTCGGTCGCAACCGAGGTTGAGTCTCGGAAATATGGTTGATCAAAGGCCATGGTTACAAGCGGACAAAGGAGAGTAAGTATGTTTTAATTTAATTATAATTCTTTAATATGAAATTTCTTAATAATATCAATCCCACAATATGTTTCAACACAGGTTTATACCAAAGAAATGGTCCTCCCGCTATAATCTCTAGAATCATCAAACAAAAATTTGATGAACCAAGTCCCACTTGGAGAAAGGTTTCACTTGAGCTTCGAGATAGATGGTTTGGAGAGTTCAAGGTAATTTGAATTATAGTTACATTAAACAATGTCATTTCATTCTTATAAATTAAATGTTTGTTGTGTATTTTATTTATGCGGAAAGAGTATATATGGGATGTGGAACAAGAGCAAGCCATAAGATCTGTTTTTGATAAGAAAGGTTCTCGAATTTTAAAAAACTCAATGAACAAAGTTAGGAATGGTAAGGATACGGGAATCTGGATACCGCCAACTGTTCGAGCATCTTTGGACTTACATTGGAGTTCTCCGGATTTCCAAAACAAGAGTGCCATTGCCAAGGCTAATCGAGCTGTTGATAAGGGTGCCTCAACTTACTCGTGGGGGTTCCATATCTACTGCAGCTCACTTTGAGAAGATGGTAAGTTTATTATATTTTTATATAAGTAATTTAATACAATATATTACACTTTAGGTAATGAATTTTGTCTCATTTTAATGTGTAGACTACGGAGTTTCAACGGGAACCAACCGTTTGGGAGGTTGTTGAGAGGACAAAGAAATTAAAGACTGGACAATGGGTCAATGAAAAAACTCGTTATCTTGTTGTATGTTTAACATCTAAGTTATAGTTTATTATTCAATATATGTTTTCTTCATAATAATTATATTTCACTTCATTTTTAGGAATAATATATGCAGCGCAGAGAAGAAGTCCATCAACATAACTTGCGTGAAGGCTCATCTTCACAAGAGTCTCCTATTGTCTCTGTTGATGATAATCAAATATACATTTCAGTTGTTGGAGGTGAAAATAAAAAAGGAAATGTGTATGGACTTGGTACATTGAGCAAAAAGTTCACTACTACATCAGGTTCTCAATCTTCTACTCAAACTCCAGTACTTCATCAAATTGAACAAATGCGTGAGACTATTGAAAAGTTAAATGCTGAATTGGTGACAAAGCATAATCAGGAGAAGACACTTGAAGAAGAGATGCAGGAGTTGAGGAACAACCAACGCCAACAAGATGAGCAGATGAAGCTTATTTTACAACATATTCAAATGAATAGTCATCCTACTACAAGTCAACATGACACTAGTCAACATGACACTAGTCAACATGACACTAGTCAACATGACACTGACAATATACCAGAGGACTAATTTTCAATTTTATGATATTAAGACTTTGAATCTTGAGTAGTTGTTAAGTTCTTAAGTTTCATTTGTGTTATGTTTGGATGAATTAAGCAGGTACAAATTTTGTAAAATTGGATATACAAAATTTGACTTTAGTTCTTAAGTTTTCATTTATGTTATGTTTGGATGAATTAAGCAGGTACAAATTTTATGATTTGAATAATTTGACTTTAGTTCTTAAGTTTTTATTTGTGTTATGTTTGGATGAATTAAACAGGTACAAATTTTGTCAAATTGGATATACAAAATTTTAAATGAAAATTTTCAGATTTGGTTAGATTAGCGATCGAATTTTTGGTCGCTACAAATTTATTATAATATACAATTCAAATTTAGCGATCGATTTAAATTATTATTTAAATAATTCAATTAATATATTAGCGATCGATTATATCCGTCGCTATTATTTTTAACTTTGTCTCCAATTTAGCGACCGATTTAGCGACCAATTTTAATTATTATTTAAATAATTATATTAATATATTAGCGACCGAATATATCGGTTGCTATTTTTTAAAATTTTACCACGAATTTAGCGACCGATTTAGCGACCGATTTATTATATTATTTTCGATCGCTATTTTGGTCTCCAATGAATAAGTGACCAACTTATTTAGCAACCATTTTAGCGACCACCTAATCGGTCGCTATTTAGCGACCGATCTGTAAATCGGTCGCTAACTAATTAGCGACTTGTCCTTTTGCGACCAACCATTTCGGTCGCTAACGGAATAACGATCGATTTTTATCCATTAGCGACCGATTTTTTCGGTCGCTAATACCGTTTTTTCTTGTAGTGGAATAAATAACCCTAAAACTATTTTAATAAGAATTAACCACGAAATAATTTTTACATATGAGTATTTGCAATAAGAGTTAAACACTGAAAGATCCTCATCAACTATAAAATAAAATATATTAAAATATTAAATTATTAATTTTTTAATTAACTTTCTCAACTTTTTTATTTTTATCAAACCTACTATTTCAACTCGCATTGAAATACTCAACTCAATCATCAGTACGTCATAGTGATACATAATTCTCAAACCAACATAAAAAAAATAATATTTATCTTATTTTTATTGTATTATAATTCTCATCAAATCTTGTAAGATATAACATCTATGTTAGACCGCTAAATTAGCTTAGTCTTTTATCTTGAAGTAGAAGTATAAGTTTTTTCAGTTTTAAGAATTAAAATAAATCATTAAATGTACAGTAATTTTAAAATAAACACAGTTTACGTACCAATCTATCTAACTAATAGATGATTGATTTAGATTACCGCATAGTTCAAAACCAAGAGAGAAACGAATTAAAATACTTGCTGCGTTTGGTTATAGAAATATTACTATTTTATACATGAAAAATACTAAACAAGTTTGCTCTATTTTTAAAAACAAGAGACAAAATATAAACTTTTATATAATATTAAAGAAGAAATAAAAAATATTCATTTCCAGTGCCAACGTACGCAGTGTTCAATTATTATTTACAAAGTTTGAAAGGATATTATAATGCAATGGTCAAATCAGAACAAAAATGTACGTTTCACATGATAGAACACGCATGAGGGTTGTCATCACTGAACAAAGCCATGGCCTTCTCATCAATCAATGTAGCACCAATTGGCTTATGGTAATAGCCAAAGTCTTCACCATAACTGTATCCATGCTTGTAGTAATTGTAAGAAGAAGAGGGTTTGGAAGAAGCAAAGTAAGAGTTGTTCCCAGAATCATTGGCATAATGGCGAGCCAAGGCATGGTGTTCTGGGTTGTATGGATATGGCCACAGCTCTGCCCTCCGACCAGTCTTCCTTACTGCTTTCAGTACCTTCTTTTGCTCTGCCCAACCCATCACAGTGACCTTCTGCAACCTCATGTCTATGTCAACATCATCAACTCCTGATAAAACTCATTCAAACAAGTAATACGTTACAATTTGACCTTGCCAACTTATTCAATAATAACTGCATCATGAATGTATTCACATTGTAAACTTCTAATTATTTTTTTATCATCAACTGTATTTGTATTCCCAAACTTTAATCCCCTGTAAAAAAATCCATTGATTATATTTAATGGATATTGTTTTTTCTTTACACAAATCAAACCTATATTTTCACTCGTATTACTGATACGTTCATGTAGGAGCTTTCTATTTAACTGCTATATACTATTTTCTTCACCTTGTAACCAAAATTCGTGTGTAGCACACTACTACAACCTCGTAATAAAACAACTAAAGACAAAGTTAAGGTTTTATATATATACCATTGTTTCTGGTTGAATTTCGATCGATTTCGATTCTAAACAGTGTTATGGTCCTAATCGAAATCCTCCCACGTAAGTTCTTTTTACTTAGGCTAACAGTCTGACTTTCAATCGAAAACGTGTATGAGGATCGAAAATCACAAGATATCAAAAAAACTGTTTTTGGTATTTTGTATTTAAAGTACTGAAAGCAGTAAAGTATCGAATCGAGAAACAGAACATTAAATTGCAAGAAAATATAAAGTGCGAAAGCCCCAAATTTGCATTAATTGTAAATGACGAGGAATCGAAAATAGTGCAAATATAAATGGCAGGAAATCGAAATGTGCAGGGAATGTAAATGACAATAAATCGAGATTTGCAGAATGTGAAACGACATGGAAGCTTAAATGCAGAAACTTAATCTTTCATTGAATTGAAATGACAAGGAATCGAAAATACAGAAACATAAAACTGCTGAATTTAAATTGCATCAAAGTAAATTACCAAGGAAAATACAGAAAGCGGTAAATGTACTCAGTGAGCAAGGAAATCCAGATTGCCAGAAGCTTCATGGTGTTCGTCGTTTCTCCGGTAGACTTTTCACTACTGATTCTGTTCTCTGCCAATTTCTGCCCCTGTTCCGTCCTTCTTTGCTCTATTTATAGGACATCGTTCAAGCTTTCCAGGAGCAGTTAACAAGGCTGCTACCACGTTCTACGTGCATATGACAGTTTACCTTCCACGGTCTCCCACGTTCTCACGATCTTCGACTTCCTCCAGGGTTTTGAAACTGCTCTCTATACGTGCGTTTGACTTGTTCTTCTCTTCACGGTTTGGCCAGAATCCCGATGTCCACATTGGCTTTCTTCACTCTCGATTTTGTATTTTCGAGAATTTCGATTTTACTTGTGATTCCTTTTTGACTTAGGTCTCATATAACTTAGTTTTTATTCGATAACAGACATTTGGTTATCATTCACTCGATTCTCGATTGTGCTTCTCGATGCTACGTACTTCTAATCAGACATCAAATGAATTTTTGTTTATCTTATCGAGTCACATTTCTTTCCTTCATTTTCGATCGCTTTTCTCGATTTGCCACTAACAAAATGCCCCCTTGGAAGAATATGAATAGTTTGTTTATATTCTTTCAATATTTCCCGCCTTAGTATTTGGAGGCTCACAGAACTTTAGGGTTTAGGGTTTCTGGGTTTTTAGGGTTTAAAGGGTTTTAGGTTACTTTTTGCTTTACGTCGCTATCATATCAGTCTGCTACCTTACAGTACAAGCAACATTAATTACCTTTCACCTCCGTCGTTTCCAACTCCCTAGGCGCTTTTCCCTTTAACTTTTCCCTTGGTCTTTATTCGGGTTTTTACGCGAACTTTTACCCTCTCGTCCGTACCTCCATCGTCTTCCTTGAGTTCTTGCTTTCATCTCTCGTGCCTTCATCTTTCCCGTTGCTTTTCTTCATCCTACCCATTACTGAAATGGCCACTTCCTCCAAGTCTTCTGACTTTTCTGCTCCGCCTCTTCCCTCGCTGACGGCTCCCCTTCTGGAGATCAATAATCAGAAGTTTGCTCCAATCCCTCTGATGGAGGAGGCTTCTCAGAAAATTGCTGAGACGCAGGTACTCATTCCTTACATTGCTGATAATGTTAATTTTGGTTTTAGGGGTCCTGTCCGTTCTAGTAGTGGGACTTTTTCTTCCTTCACCCTCTCGAACAGCCTAGCACTTATTCATCACCCTGAGGTTTGGACGGATTTCTTGAATATGGCCTCGAGGGTATACCGAACGGGTCCACCTTCCAAAAAACCTTCATTCCTTAGGTGGTTTGATAGAGTACAGGCTAAGTTTGGGAACCACTGGAGAGATATAGGGATTTTTGATTTTTTACAGCTATCTCGATGCGATTTGTCATCTTTGGATATGGCTATGTTTCTATCTGCCGTGCATTTGTGGAACAAGGATTTGCATGCCTTGGAATTACCCTGTGGTCCCCTGTCACCTACTCTCTTTGAGATTGCTGCTATAACCGGACTGAAACCTACTGGAGAGAAGTATTATAAGGGTGCTTACCCTTCGGACAATTCTTTGAGATCTAAGGTCGATTGGGAATCGAAAGCTTACGGACATTTTCTTGAGAAGCATTTCGTCGATGACGAATTGAAGGCTGTGACTGACGAAGAACACATAGCCTTTTTGGTATATTGGCTATGTACCCACGTTTTTTGTCCTCGATCCATCCAAATTTCCTCCCACCTCTATAATCTAGCCTATCTTCTCCATACGGGCCAGCCTAAGATATGTTTGGCTAAACTCCTGTTAGCGCATGTGTATACTGCTTTCGACGAGGCTGTCGAAATTTTAAGTACTCCTAAGGCATCGGGAAACTTTTCTGGTTCCATCTGGTTTGTACAGTTGTGGCTTACCTCGATTTTTGAGAGCATCCTTCCCCCGACCTCCACCATTCCCCCCAGTATAAATATAGAAGGTGCTCGGTTATCTTCTCGCCACCCTCGCCATAAGCCTGATGAAGCGGCTTATTGTAAATATCTGAATTTTTTGTTGACAAAGTTTTCCTTCGATTCAACCTTGGCCCCCTTTACCGTACATTTTGGACAAATAAGTGATCGACTTAGGGGACCAAGTTGGTTTAAGTCTAAATTCCCTGCCTCGACTCCTGGGTTGCAATCGGAGCTGATAGATATATGGAGTAATTATTTGACCCACGATGTGTTGGTATCGGGTTTTCAATCGAAAGATTTTAAGATCATCACTTACTATCCTCAGCTATTCTCAAGACAATTCGGCCTGAGCCAGTCCTTACCTTTCTTCCCTTTAGATACCTCCCCGAGGTTCAAGTTGAATGAATCGATAATCGAACGGGAGCTTATCAAGCTTTTGCCAAAAACCCCGATGCATTTTATCCCTATGCTTTCGAGTCAAATTATTTGTCTACTGTGGGTTTTTCTCAATGGTGGACTGGTTGGTTCTCGAGTAGTCATGCTACTTTTGATGAAGTTCGACAGAAACTGACTGCTCAACCTTCTCTTGTGTTGCAGGACAAGTCAAAATCGAAGAAAGGTACACACTTCCACTGTCTTCAAATATCTCGATTCGAGAACTTTTATCAAATATGTTACACCCCACTGAAATTAGAATCGACCTATTATGATGCTGTTATCTCCTTATCCAATAAAACAGATGCTAACCGATCGAACCACAAAATAATCAATCCTCTAGGTAGAACCCCTTTTGAAATGTATTGTCCAAATCGCCTTCCCACTTTTCCCACAGCTCCTTTTGGACTTGCCAAACCATTAACTCATCCTAAATGGGTTCGAGAATTGAGATCCCTCAGGGAAACACTTCGCCCAAAACCCAAAAACAAAGATATTTCTGTCTCGAAATTATCTTATTTCCCTTACCTTAACCTCCCTGAGGCTCTTTTGCCTCCCTGGCTTGTACATATCGACCGAGTCAAGATTTTGACTCCATCACCTTTTGGTGAGATTTTACTGCTTTCTTATACTTTTTTGATTCTGTATATTATAAGCTAATCTGTCTTCTTTTATTGGCAGTTTCGAAATCTACCAAGGTCACCGCTGTCGAGAAGGGTCAAGAGAAGAGACAAGAGGACTGGGAATCCTCAGATGAATCGGACCCGTCAGCCTTAGTCAGAAAACGCAGACGCTCGGCCACCATTCCTACTTCTTCAAAAAAATCGAAGGTTCCTTTTGACTTCTGTTTTGGCCTATTCATTTTTCTGTCTGATCAATCCATATTCTTATACTTATCTCTTTTCGATCTTCTATTTTCAGAAACAAAAATCGAAGAGTCCTCGATCTGTTCAACCAGTTGCTCTCGATCCATTATCGACGGACTCTAATACGATCCCCACGACAACAACGCCTGCCACTCGCTCAAGTCACGTAAGTTTCCTTTTTTATGCAAATTTTATGTTCTTAAGTCTCGATAAAATTTATAACATGGTTTCCAACTTTGATTTTCAGGATCTTCCATCGGAGACTGTATCGACGAATGTCGAATCTCAATTGTTAACACCCTTCCTTGAGGTATTTTATATACTATTGTCTGATTGCTTCAACTTTTGTGCATTTCTTGTTCTGATAATGGTTTTCGATTTACAGCAACCTGAGGCTGTACAGATTCTTCCTCCTGCCTTGGTACCACTTGCTCTACCTCCCCCTGGTATTCACAAATTTTACTGTGTTTTTTTTTTTTTTTTTTTTTTTTTCGTTATGAATTCTCGATTCACCTTTTTGATTTCTTTTCTTTCTAGTCAATATCCCAATAATCGAAGTCCAAGGCTCCCCTTCCCCTGTTTCTGCGGAGCAAGAGGATTCTCCTCCTTTTGCGATGCCTCCTATCGAGTTGCTCTCGGCTTCACTACCAGAGATAGATGTGCCTGCTCCGAGCACTGTGCTAGAATATCGAGCTGCAATTGAAGAAGACCCTTTTTCTATCCTCGATATTCTATTATCTACAGAAGCGACACCATCAAGCTCTTCTAAGACGCCCATGACTTCAACTGAAGGACCATACCAGCTGAAGCAACGCTTCCGATCTTTCTTTTATTCCTCGCCCCTCGAAATTTTGG